TCTATACCTATATTAAGTTAGCACTATATAAGAATAGTAACTATACTAATATATACTTTTTAATATTATAGCTACTATACTACTTACTATAATCGCAGTACTAACTATTATATATATATTATTATAGTAAATACTACCAGATAATAGCTAAGAGAGTAGTACTTAGTAAAAGATAAAGACTATATTAGTAGTAGTTACTCTCTCTACTCTATATAAGAGGTATATATAGGTACGCTTTAGTAGAAATACAAAAAACTCTAGTTTATATTAGTAATATTAGCCTAATCACTATATAAGATAAGATTAATCCTATAAATAAGTAAATAAATAATTATTAAGTATTTACTTAGTTACATTAGATATAGTACACTCTATAAGAGACTTCTTAGTATATATAGATAAATTAGCGTCTATTATAGATATTAGCTACTATCTTATAGATTGTATAGTATAGATACCTATTATTACCTTTAGCTTAAGGAGAGCTTAAAGCCTCTATTCTTTATCTATATAGAAGCTTATATTTTAGATGATTTATATTATTACTACTATTACTACTACTACTACTACTACTACTACTACTACTACTACTACTACTACTACTACTACTACAACTACTACTACTAATACTAGTAGTAGTAGTAGTAGTAATAGTAATAGTTATAATAGTAGTAGTAATAGTATTAACAGTAGAACTAAAGATATAGTTTAGATATATAGAAAGGTAATATCTAAAAGCAATAGCTTATTCGTTTTTATATTACTAAAAGAAGTATTAGATTTAGCTAGACAGTTCTATAAAGAATAGTATTAATAGCTAGTAATCTTAAGAGTAAAGAAAGATTTAGAATAATAATAAAAGAGCGTAGCTTGATATTTATCTTAAGTAATTGTTTCTATTACTTCGTATTAGTAGAAGTATTAAGCCCTTTAGTCTTAATACTATAGTCAACTACTATAATTTACCTATTCTCCTCTATTCTAGTCCACTAGGAAATAGAAAGAGAATTAAATTAAATCTTTAGAGTATTTAAACTAGTTACTTACTATTATTTCTTTTACTACTAGCGGCTTGACTTTTACATTATACTTACTACTATTTTATATTCTTTAGTAGTATAGTATCTTTTTAGATAACTTTCTTAATTCTTCTTTACTATCTATATCATAGTATAAATAATAGCTAAGAAGAACTATTCTATAAAAATATAATAAGTGCAACTATAGATGAATAAAAGATAGAAAGACATACTTATATAGAGAAGTAATATGTATTATATAGTAGCTTAGAGTTAATACAATAGCATTAGAGTTAACATTATAACTAATTAATCTAGTTCTAGCTAGAGTTTATCTTTATAGTATTTAGTAAAATAGATTTACTTTAGAACTATTAAGTCTATCTAGAGTTTTCTGGTGCTAGCCTTAGTGCTAGACTATAGAACTATACTAACTTTATAGACTCTATACTAGTACTATACTATAATAGCGTGAGATATTTGATTCTAACTAAAGAATGCAATTTACTATACTTTATTCTATAATCTTACTACTTAATATTTCTGTTATCCGCATAGTGCATCTTCTATCTCTAATTCTGACTATAGTAATAGAGTCTAAGTATATTCTATCTTCTAAGGAATTTTTATTCCAGAAAGCTTAGTAAGAAAATAGTTTCTTTTTTATAATAGAGATCTTTTTCTAGCTATATAATTTATAGAATAGATTATAGAAGATTAACTAAGTTTATTACTTACAAAAAAATTATAAATTTATTATAACGCTTATAGTATAGAGTAACTTAGATTGTATTTATATATAATTTCTATATAGTTTCATTATATTTCTACTAGAGTGTAGCTTTTATATATTCTAGTTCTAATACTAGACTATAGTCTATATATTATACTAAATATTACGCTATAATATACTTATTTATAAGTATTATAGAGACTCTATCTAGTTTAAGCTTTTTTTCCAAATGTAAATATAATATACTAGAGACTCAATATCTTTCTAACTTTAGTAGTAGATAATATAATAACTATAGTATATATCTTATATCTAGCCTAGAATATACAGTAAGATAGTCTATAAGATACTATTTATTAGTTTATACTTACTAAAATCCTAAATTCTATCTAATCTAAAACCTTAAGTTAAAGTTGAGAATAGCATAGATTTAATATAATAATCTTAGAGTCAATTTAAAAAGTTTGTATTTTAGTTCTAAATAAGGTTTCTCTTTATACTAATTACTTAGATAATCTTACTTCTATAGCTCTAAGCGTATCTAAGAATTTATATCTCTTATCTTAATACTAAAATATAAGACTATATTAACTCTACTAACTTTACACTAATACTATACTATAATTGCAAGAGATATTCGAATTCTTGTTCTAGCGCGCGATTTACAACACCTTATACTATAACTTTACTAAATTATTTCTATAATCCGCTCTATTTGCTCTGTATCTCTAATAATAACTATAGTATTAGAAATCCGAGAACTATTATTAGATTCTATAGAGATATAACTATAGCTAGTACTGTTTTTAATATAGCTCGACTAGTTTTATATTAAGATTTGCGGGAGTTAGTATCTAATCCCTTAGATTTAGAGCTTTAAGGCGGAGATACAGTAGCTAATTATAGATAGTAGTTAGCTATCTAAGCATATTAACTAAGTATATTATTAGTTTATCTATAACTACTAGTAGATATAGTTTATTAAGTGCTCTACTAGAGATACTATAATTTACCGTATATATAGCCTTCTAGTAAAATTTCCAATATATACTACTAGTATAAGAAGATATTAGAAGAAGGAAAGTATTAGTAATATCTTAAAGCTAATATTTTATTCGATCTCTTAGCTTCTTAGAGCGAGCGAAATTAAGATAGATATAGTTATAGCTCTTATTAAACTAGGCTAAACTATAATAAATAATAGGAATATTTCGCTTAATTAAGATAACTATACTAAGGAGTTTAGTAGTTTCACTTAATAGTTCTCTCTATAGTATTATCAATTGATATATCTATATACTAAATCCTCGAACTAGTAGAGAGCATAATACTACTTAGAAAACTTTAGCGCAATTAGTTTATAAATATGCTTATAGTATTAGTTACATATTAAGCTATTCTTTATACGAGCTATTATTCTTAATCTTTTCTTTCTATTACTAGTAACTTGCTTCTATTAAATCGATTTTACTAGTTATAGTAAGATTAGATTCTCTCTACTATAATTCTAATCTCTTCTCTTTCTATATACTAACTATATTCTTCTTACTAGATATATCTAAACGAAAGTTTCTAGAGATACAACTCTAAATACTCTAATAAAAGTTCGCTTGTATTTCTATTAGAAGAAAAGTAGTATAGAATTATTAATATTATCAGCTACTTGTATTATATAGATCTAAGCTTCTTCTTCTAATTATCTTAACTAGTAGTTTATAGAAACTAGTTATCAGGTAAGTTTTCTATTCTTAAGGCAATTATAGAGATACTATATTCTTAGAAGGAAAATCTTTATACTTAGAATAAAAGTAGTTAGACTATAATCTAGAAGATTTAATCGTGTATACTTATAAGATACAAAGAGAGCCTCAGGCTACACCTAGACTTCCCGCTAGTAATATACCGGCTAAGTAAGAGTATATAGCACTCGCTTCTATATAATAGGAGCTTAGTAGAATTTAGTCTCCTACTAAACTAACTATATTATTCTATTCATATATGCCTTATTATTATATTACTATATTAACCCTAAGGATCTATATCCTCTAATAGTACTATAGGCTTAGAAATAGACTAAAGCTGCAAAAATCGAGAGTAGCTATACTTTTACTATAAAAGTTCCTACTATCTCTAAATATAAAAGATTAAAAATACATATAATCTACTTAATAAGTAGTATACTATTATATAGCTTATATAGTAGAAGCTATATAAGTTCTACTAAATACATATATAGAACGAATTTGGTTTACTTAACAATAGCTTATAAATAAATACATATTACTAATTTATATAAATTGTAATAACTTATTAAAAGATTTATAGAAAAACCTGAAACTTATATACTTATATATAATAGTATTTATAGAGTAAGCTATTTTACTAATATTAGCTTAATCTTCTATACTACTAAAGTAGTAGTATTTTAAATCTCTTTAAGGAGTAGTAAAAAACTAATTTCTTTAGTATAGTAGTATAATATCTAGTACCTTTACTTTTAGATTAACTATATATAGTATACTCTATAGTTGCTTTACTCTAGTGTATTTATAAGTCAAATATAGTTTTCGATTAAGATAATAATTTTATAAAACTAGAATTAACTAGAAAGTATAAAGCTGAACTAGCTAGTTACTCTAAAGTCTAGTTATATAATATTATTATCGTATTTTTATGTTATATACTACTAGTAGTAGCTATATAATAAATATTAGTTATCTTACTACTTCTTACTATAAAGAAAATCCAATTACTAATATCTCTAATATTTTTAATGTCTAGTTACTATAATAACTTACTTACTAGACTTTATATAGTTTTTAATTATATATTAGCTTAGTAGCTAGTATACTTAATATAAGTATACTTAGTACTCTTTATATTTATACTATAATACTTCTAGAGCGGCTTTAAGTTCTCTAGTTTTTAGAGGTTTTAGAAACTTTTGCGGTAAAAGTGTATTATTTACTTATATATATAAATGACATGGGAAACTAGTTACCTATAGAGGTTAATAGTATGCACTCGGAATAACGGTTTTAGCTATAAAGATATTATATTAATATTCTAATTGAGACTGCTCTCTTTAACAAGTTATATGCATCTCTAGTATTAACGAATAGGTGCTATATTATTGTTATTATACATGTATCTAGGAATAGTAACAGATTGAATAGTGATAGAATGGATATATGCAATCTATAACCTATGCAAATATACACCCCATCCAACAAAAGTTTATTAACCACCTATCTAGGCAGCAATTTGTGATTCTGCTTCCCCCACTTCATCTGATTATCCACCTGATCAAACTTCTGCGAATTCGCCCCCTTTGCATACACCCATTCCCTCGCCCGGCGAGCCACCGCCTCGCTCCTCTGTGCCTTCTTCTCAGCCAAGACGAGCGCCTGCCGCTGTTGCACAGAAACGCCTAGTATGCTCATCTCTTCACGACGCGCCAGTTGTCGACCCGACGCCAGCTGCGGTCCGACGGCCAGTGGCGACGATTCTGCATTCTCGGAACCCGGGGGCAAAGCTCTCATCGCGAGACCCCGTTTCCTGGACGCTTTCCTAGTCGCGGGAGCAGCATGTCTCGAGCCGATCACCCTGCCAGAGGCAAAGCGGATCTCCGTCGTCGATAGGTTAGTCGGGCGTTCCTGCTCCAGCGCGGCGGCGCCGTCCCCGTCGACCCATCGCGGGCTCTCCCAGAAGTCGAGCAGTTCCGGTTCCCTATCCAAGTTCAAGAGACAGTGTCCCTTGTCCCTCATGTGGCTCTGTATGCTCAGGGTCGAGGGCTTCGTGGCGCCGCAGTAGAGGCATTCGTGCCACTCCCGGACCTCCGTGGCCAGGTACCCCACGAAGCTCTGCATGTCTACCACCATCTCCGGGTCTGGGATGGACATCCGGTGGGCTGTACGCATGTGCTCAAGGTTCGTTGCGAAGCCGGCGTCGTCGCTTGCGAAGCCCCGGCTGCAGAACAGACATTGGAAGGGCGATGCGCTTTGCTCGCCCTCGTTGTCCGAGACCTCCTCGTCGCTGCTGCTGCTGCTGCTGCTCCTTCTGCTAGTAGATGCCTCGCTGATGTCAATCTTTCTCTCGATCTGTATATCGAATCCATCGAGGGGGATCGGCGGTAACGATGCAATACGCCGCTTAAGGTTGTACACGCTATTCTGATGTCAATTCTCGAGATCTAGACCATAGTCGTGTCGATTTTAACATACTGCCATGGCTCTTTCATGTGTATGCGCTGCTCCTGCCCATTTTGGAAGGAGATCTGGCACGAAGTGCACAAGTAGGTTGTTAATGGGAGTGGGGAGGGAGATTGCTCGGCATAGTTGTCGGCGTTAGTGCCTAGGTTGGAGGACGTAGCGCTTAGCATTGCTTTAGTGATGAGTAGAGAAGAGAAAGATCAATTAAAGATGTTCGTGACCACAATAGTGAATTGATTGCTCGTTCTTATATACTCTGCGCATGGACTAGCTCTAAAGACATTGAGACTACAGCTCAGGCCACCTGAGTACTTAAACCTTAGGTGAACCCACTATTGCATGGCCTAAAGGTGCGGTGACGTGTAAGTAGTCCGTGCATAGGTGGCCTAAGCTGGCATCTCGAAGACATTCTGTTGCGCCCGACTAGGAAGCTTCCACGGATAGGCAATTCCGAGTGCATCGCAGACACAGCCGACCGAGTTGAGTCATAATTAGTGGTCCGAGGACTTGCGAGGGTGACTGCTAGCATGATTGGATATTAAACTATATGCCTTTGAGTTCTATCTCAGAATGACTCATCTGAACTTCCGCACAGGTATGGGATAAGACTCATAAATTGCCACATTAGGAAAGGCGTCGCTCCCCGCCACCGAGATCATTATGCGCCGCGATAGTAACCTATCTATCCGCTGCGCCATCTTAAAGGCTTAGATGAGAATAGAGTATTTGCTCGAAGTATTCTTAGTATCAAGATTTATAGTTCTAGACGGCCTCAACTATCAGTATTCTCGCTTATAAGTAGATAATTCTTGCAAAGGCTTAGGGTACTTATTAAGTTGCCCGGATTAATCCACTCTACTAACAAAACTCAATTAAATGTATATATAGAGCTAATTAGAAACATTATCTAGACTTGTATTTCTAATAAGACAATAATTATTCTAGTAGTAATATCAGCTGGAAATAACTATATCCATTAAATTATACTAGAGCATTACTATAAGATTGATTCAAAAGGCTCTAAGATACTAGAAATTATAATAGAGCCGGACTTTCTATAAATTACTTAGTATATTTAATCTATAGCTTATTAGCTAGCCGTTCCGACTGAGAATTAGAGAGTAGTTGCAAAAATATATAGTATCTAGCTAAAAGTCTTTCTATACTACCTGTATTCTTACTAAAATATAATGTTTTTATCAAAACTTACTAGAATTATAGAATTAGATAATTAATAACTTAATTCTAGCTAGTTTTAGCTATATAAAAATATATACTAGATGTGCCTGTTTTATACTAAAACGATTTAGAGTATTAGAAATGAACATTTAGTATATTTAGACTTTTAAGACTATATATTTTCTCTATATCTTTCTATCTTACTTTTCCCTAGATATTAAGAGTATTTTCTTTCTTAATTCCCCTCTAGTACTCTTTATTCTTTATTCTATATTTAGGAGATTCTTTTCATTTTTAGTTTTCTTTTAGTTTATCTCTTAGTTCACCTCTTAATTACTCTTCTAATTTTGATTCCAATTTACTATCTAGTCTATTTTTCAGTTTTTAATCTAGTCTAATTTCTAGAATACTTTTTTATAAATATTTTAGCTTAATCTATTCTAAAATCTACATTTAATCTACTTTTTATCTTATATTTTAGTTAAGTTTTTAGATTAGTTCTTAGTTTAGCTTAGAGTATAGTTTTTAGCTTAGCTTTAAGTTTAGCTTAGAGCCTAGTTTTTATTCTAGCTTTCAGCTTAGTTTTATTATAGTTTAGACTTAGTATTTCTTAGTACTTAAATCTTTAGTAATTCTAGATTTATATAACTACGTTATATAATTTACTTATAGAGTTCTCTTTTTATTTTTCTTTCTATAGCGTCTAACTTTATATAATATCTTGTATATTACTCTAATAAACTAAGTCCTAGTATTAAGTCTTTCTATAATGTAATATTATAAGATACCTACTAATTATTTTTTATTATAGTTTAGATATAGCCTACTATATATTCCTCTACTTTCTCTAAAGTATCTATATTTGTAAGTAATAATCCTAATACTTAATAAGCTTCTATAGCTATTAACTTACCTATAGTACTTACTATAAAAGTTCCAAAGAACTCTACTACCTAGTATAAGTTCTTTACTAACCTCTTAAATTAATTTAATAAGATATATACCTATATTAGCACCTTTAAAGAATCGCTTAAGAATATCATATACTAGCGTAATATAATAGCTAAATAGTATAATATAATAATAATATAGCGCGATACTATAGTTTTATTTACTAAAAAGTAATTATATAAATTACTTAACTCTCTATCTAGACCATCTAACTAAATACTACTACTACTAATAAGTTAGAAAAGCTTTTTAATCTAAAACTCTTTTCTAGTTCTAATTATACCATCCTCTATCCCTTTAGTATAAATATTTATATAAAGCTTAGTATTAATACTAGCTAGTATCCTATTAAAACATGCTAAACCTTATACTTATATAATTATCTAAGAGATACTATATAAGTACTCTTTCTTCTATATCTTTTTACTAATAGTATTCTTAAGTTTAGCTCTATTAAGGAAATAATTAAGTGTCTAAAACTATTCTTCAGTAATCTAAACTCTAAGGTAACTACTTAAGCTAAAATTACTAAGCTCTATAAAAAAAGTTATAAATTTATTACTTTTACTATAAATTTCTAACGCTATATCTATAATACTAGATATAATAGAAATAGAAAGAAGTCTATACTCTTTATAAGTCTTTTAAATAAGATATAAAGCGCGCTTATAAGCTAAAATACTAAGAAAATAAGCTATTTAAATACTTCTACCTCTACTAGTATATTAATAGGCATCTATATACTACTACTAGTATAGCTACTAGCGCGTTATTCTTTTAGGAGCGTGTCTTTCTAATTATACTCCCTACTACTAGCATCTCTTATGTAATAACTACTATAACTACTTTCTTATTTATTTTTTATTCTATACTAGCTAAACTATAATCTACTTCTATAGCCTATAACTATAGCGACTCTATAAATCTTATAGTTAGTTATATCTAATAAAGCCTAATTATACTAGAAATAAAGTAGTAGCGCTTTAATAATAAGTATCTATACTATAGTAGTGATTATATAGTTTATAATTACATAAAGAAGCCTTAGACTACTATATATATAGTTAACTTTAGCTCTACCTCTAATACTCTAGATTCTACCACTCTATCTAGTAACTTAACTAATTTAGAAAATAAGTAGTTTCTACTAAAAGTTACTTATAGAGATCTACTTTTAGAATAGTTAAGATTTTCTTTTTCGCGATTTTCTAGTTATACTAGTAATATCTTAATAAAAATAAATACCTTATAATTAACTATACTTTATTTACTAATTTATATAAATATAAGTCTACCGCTCTTATTAACACTAGAGTATCTAGTACTATTTTTACTAATTAACTTACATATAAAATCCTAGTCTTTATTTTCTTCTTCTTATTTCATCTATTTCTCTTCAAGTTATTAATAGGTGTTTCACTACTACTAATAATATTACCTATTTTATCTAAATTAAGTTTTTAATGAAGTTGTTTAAATAGACTTTTACTCTCTTTATTACTTATCTTAGCTACTTTCTTATTATTCTTAGCTACTCTTAGTTACTAGCTTACTATACTACGCTTAATAATAACTAATTACTAGTAGTATTTTCTAATAGAAATACTATTCTTTATACTTATTTAGACTCTATTATTATTCTTTAAAAGAGGGCTAAAGAGTTACTTAATCTTAATTTACTTCTATAAAAGACTCTAGATATCTATATAACTAGTATAGTACTCTTTACCTACTCAGTAAATACTAAGAAGACTAGCTATTAGCTCTTTATAATTATAATAAGAAATATTAAAAAGGCTCTTACCTCTAAAATAGTTATCAACCCTACTACTATCTTACCTTCTAAGTACTATAAATTGCTAGAAATCTTCTTTAAATATCTTTTAGACTAGCTACCTCTATATTATATCTATAACTACTATATTAAGCTATTACTAGGGATAGAATCGCCTATTAGCTCTTTATATAAATATACTAGAAAGAGCTACTTATTCGAAAAAAGTATCTAGAAGACTACCTTATAAAGAGCTTTATTTATTCTAGTAGCTCTATAGCCTCTCTTATTCTCTTTATTTAGAAATCTAGAGGGAGTCTTTGCTTCTATATAGACTACTATAGCTTTAATATAATTATAGTTAAGAATAAGTATTCTATTCTACTTATTTAAGAGACTCTTACTTATCTATTATTAGCTAAGTTCTTTACTAAGCTTAATATTATTCTAGCAATTAATAAACTCTATACTACTAAAAGTGATAAGTAGTTAATAGTATTATACCTATTATAGTCTCTATAAGTACTGAGTTATACCCTTTAGCCTATTTAATACACTCTTATTCTTCTAATACAATCTTAATAATATCTTATAGAAATACTTAGACTAGTTCTATACTACCTGTATTTATAATATTTTAATCTATAGTAATACTCTAAGTAAGTATAGGGAATATATTTATAGAATTCTCTTCTACCTATAAGAAGCGAGCCTATAGATTTATATTAAGGAATATAAATTCTATATTTAAGAGATTAAGTATTTAGAGCTAGTTATCTCTATAGAGAGTATTGAGATAGACTAAGCTAAAGTTTCAACTATATAGAACTAACCTTAACCTTAGAATCTAAAGAATATCTAAAGCTTTCTTGATTTTATAAATTTCTACTATTATTTTGCTTATAATTTCTTAAGAATTATTACTTCTTTTATATACCTTATATATAAAGACTATCTCTTTCTATAGGCTCTAGATTATAAATATATCTTCTATAAGCTAACGCTCGCCTTTACTACTATATTAATTCTATAAGTTTTTAACTAGAATAAGCTAGTAACTATAGAAATAGATACTTTAGACTATAATATAGCTAGTATATTTAATGAACGAGATTTAAAAGGCTAACTCTAGCTAGTAGTCTACTTCTTTATTAAGATACCTATTACTAGATATAACTATAAGATCTATAATAAAGAACTACTTACTATTATTAAAGCGTTTAAGATCTAGTACTCTAAACTTAAAGAAACTAAAGAACTAGTTAA